GTGGTACAGAAAAATGAAAAACAGAAATTTAAAAATTAGAAAAAAAAGTAAATTTTTTTTTGTGCGGGGTGGGGTTGGGAGCAGGGGGTGAGTTTGGCGGGGTGGGTGGTGCAGAAAAATGAAAAAATAAAAATTTAAAATTAAAAAAAAAAGTAAAAAAAATATTTTTTGCAAGGAGTGGCAGCAGGGTGGGTGGTGACGGGAAAAAGCTGAAATTTAAAAAAAAGCCTTTTTGGAGAGGGAGAAATTCAATAATAGCCAGATTTACAAGTGGTCATTCAAAAATAGCCACAGTTTCAAAAGTCATCGAAATGTAGCCACTTTTCATGTAAAGATAAATCTGAACGAAAACACTGTTCAAAATCCGAAAAATACTCCAGCATAATATACTAGATTCCAGTATAATATATTGGAACTCCTGTATAATATACTGGAACCAGCAAAGTATACCGGTCCAGCATAATATGCTGAAAGTTCATACACAGGTGCATTGAACTCCAGTATATTATGTTGGACCGATCTCTGTTGCAGCAAAATAATGGCTATTTTTCAATGACTTGGCATACGCTGGCTATTTTGGAATGACCAGTTCGAAAACTAGCTAGCCCGTGCTATTTTAACTTTTGGAGAGAGGGGGTGATGTGGGGTTGGGTGGGTGGGTGTGGGGTGAGTTGGTGAGGGTGGGGAATAGGGTGGGAACGTTGAGAAGGAGTTTTAGAAAATATTTTCCCTTCTCTTGATGAGGAAAACATTTTCCTCCAATTGGAGGAAAATGAGTTCATACGGAAAATGTTTTCCAAAACATTTAAGCCAACCAACAATGGAAAAATTGGAAAATATTTTGCGGAAAATATTTTCCTTCATACCAAACACACCCTTAATGTTACCATCCTCCGTTGTAAAGAGTTACTAACTTCTAACTTAATAAAAGGATCATCTTCCTTATCATAAACCAGAAACATCTTTAAAGCTGCAACTCACAAGGACCTGGTCAATCTTGCAGGAATACAAAGGCATCAAAAATGAAAAAGAAAAGTGAAAAAGTACAATTGCTGCTTTTAATCCTCATCATAACAACTGATTCGAGGAGAATTATGAATCTAGAATTAGAAGTACAATCACAAAATAGGTATGAGATCAGTCTTGAATAAGTGGTGTATCGAATTCTTCCAGCAGTCCCATGGCACAAATATGGATTACATACCTTCTTCACTTGAGAAGTTTTCTCATCTTTCTGTACTTCATTACTTGGGTTGAAGAACTACATGCTGCACTAACAAATGATTAAAAACAAAACAAAGAGTCATGCCTCTGTAGTCAAGCATCAGGGGGCATATGAATAACCATCTCATGTGTGTACTATATGTATGGTCCATTTTCACTCCAACTATTAGAGTACCTATTGCAATGTGGCGTTTTATTTGTGCTAAAAGAATGTATTTATATCTGCAAACGTGCCTTTCTTTGATCATAAAGGCTCTTCGTGAGGCTTAGTCCTTTTGATAATTTTATGTTTACCTAATGATATTTTGTATATATAGGAATGGATCAAAATTTCTTCACGTATTTGGCATTCTTAACATAAAACGGTATTGATGCTCCAGCATAGAGCAATTTTTTTATAATATCACATTTTCTTATTCCACTAGTATTTCGTCACTTCATATTGTTTTGATATTTATATTAAATTCTGCTTGTGTATATTGCATTGATGTAAATAGTATATCTTTCTGCTAAGTAATTTTGAATCATTTTTTAGGACAAAAGTTTCATGTAAATAAAAAATATCCTACATAATCTCCTTCTCTTGAAGTTTCAATCTTTAGGTTCACAATTACCTTGGTGGAACTTGTTAAGGGCTCTAATTGAAGCCGGTATTATCATTATGTGTCTTCTTGAATCTTGAGCTTGAAAGCTGTGGGGAGAGGAGATATATCGTGAAGATCTTGTCAGTTTGCAGTACATACATGTCGAGTCAAGGGTGCAGGTATAAGTTGTAGTTATGCATGGTGAAAATGTTAGTACTTGGTTTCCTACCCACAAGCCGCATCAGTAAAAAGAGAAGGGAGTTACTTTCGGCGGGTATAGATGTAGAGAGGGAAAAAAAGGGACTCTGGAAGTTTATAGAGTGAAACATATTGTCTTAGCTACAACATACAATTGCACAAGAGGTGATTGAAGGCAACATTTTTCTTTAATTAAGTTCATGGCTAACACACCCATGTTGAGTGATTTTTCAAGATACCATAAGATTGAAGGTAGTCTTTTCACAATTTGGAGATATCAACCGATGTACATATTTGCCATCGTGGGGTTTTTATGTCTAATTTTGTCTTTGTACTTTTGGCATAGTGAAATTTTAACTGTACGTCTCATGAAATGTTCTTGTTTCTTAGTTGCAATTAAAGTAAAGCTGCATTAGAATCAAAGTCGTTGGGCCCGCAAGCGCGGGCAAGAGTCATCTAGTACATGGATAAAAAAGGTCACCGTTCTTGAACAAGGTTGACCCCCATATACTTGATATAATGCAACTAATGATGGATATTGAGGATCTAAGCTTCCTTGCTCCTTTTTCCTTGACGAGGAGCCAGAGATGATGATTTTCATTCATCTATCAAGATATATCTATATCTGTGTGTGAGTTTTGTCTCAGCCCCCCTTTAGTTACTCTCTCCTGTGATATTCATACAAAAATACTTTCTTTACCCAACGGTCCTTAACTGGAGTACTTAAGTTCTTAGAATATCCTGTGGAATATTCCTCCAAAAATGTCTAAGGATTGAACTAGCCGTTCAGGCCGGATGGAGTGCTCGACCTCGACCGCAGCCGAATCACTCGTCAGTATACTACTTCTCATACGTGACCTCGGCTTGGTTAGTTCTTGGTCGTCCTCCCTTAAGTAAGATTCTTCTGTTCAGATTTCGACCTATACAATATAAACATTAATAAAGTATAAATACACACTAAAAACTTGATTAGATGGAATTTTGTATTAAACCTTGTCATAAATTTTATCTAAAATATCTTAAGAAATGACGTCCTAATGCATATAAGAAATTAAAGGAGTTAGCCACGTACTGAATAATTACCATGTCATTTTATCCTTTGTGTCTAACTTTTCCCATATCCGACTCTCCATATGGAATTTTCGTTGTACTACACTTAATGTAAGGGTGCACTGTGGGCCGGGCCCAGCCCGGGACCGGACCGGGACCGCGGGCTAAACGGGCCTATTGGGCCGGTCCCAAATGGTACTCCAAGCCCGTAGCGGGCCGGTCTTGTACATTTAGCCCACGAGCCCGGGACCGCTAAGCCCGGGACCGGCAGGCGGGCCTGGGCCGGTTCAACCGGGCCTAACGGGCCTCAACGACTATAATTTAAATTTTTTTTTTAAAAAAAAAATGACCAACGGTCAGATTTTAAAATCTAGCCGTTGGCCATAAAAAAAGAGCCGTTTGGGACTTTAAAAAATAGCCATTTGGCCCCCAAACTTTATATAATTACACTTTTTTCAAATTCTCAACTATAAATACCCCCTCATTCTTTTATTTTTACTCACAAATTAATCAATCTCTCTCAATCTATATCTAATTCTCTTCTATAATTGCTTATTTTATTATTGCAATTTCGTGAAAAATTGTGAAGTTGGTGAATTGAAGTATTCAAGTCTTCAAGTCTCAATCTCCAATTTTCAAGACTTCAAGTCTCAATCTCAAATCTCAAGTTAAATGATGCCTCGGTTTGGAAAGAGTGCGCTCATTTGTTTGGCAACACTTTGAGGTGCTAGAAGAAAATGAAGAAGGTCAAATATTAAAGTGCAAGAATTGTGGTGGAGTCTTAAATTTTCGTTCAGGGTCTGGCATAGGCAGTTTAAGGAGGCATATAAAGTATTGTCTTGAGCGTCATCCGGAAATTCGTATTTAAGATTTTTCGATAATTTGTGTTATTTTAAAATTATTAGAAGTATTTATGCTTAATGTTTTACTTTGTTATTAATTTATTATGCATGATAATTTAGTTTTACTATTGTTTTGTTATTTTACTTTTTAAATGCAAACTTTAATATATAATTATATATACATACTATACATATTATATATACTATATATATTTATATAGCCATGTATAAGCAATTTATATTAGTATATACATATATGGTTTACAAGAAATTGCCTTAAATAAAAAAAAATAAAAAAAATAGCCTGGAAAGAAAAAGCCCGTTAGGCCCGTGTGGGCCCGACCCATTTAGCACTGGACCATGTGGGCTTAGGCCCGTCGTGGGCTGGTTCCACCCGTTGAGCCCGTGAAGCCCGGGACCGCCAAAGACCTGCCCGTCTGAGCCCGGGCCCGTTTGGCCCATTTAGGCCCGTGCCCGGCCCAGAATACAACATTAACTTAATGGCTACTGTGAGGACTATTGATTTTTAAAAAAAAAATCAAATAGCTTAGAGAAAATCAAATCAAACTGACGTAAAACTGAAATGTACTAATGTATTATTAATTTGATTTAATTAGGCACTTAATTAGAATAATTAACAATATTTAATATAATTAGTTATTAGACGAGTTTTCTTTTGACGAAAATCAGTATACTAGTTAATCTGAGATATGATATTTGGAATTTGAAATTATGTTAGGACATGTATTTCACTTGAAAAAATATTGCAGTTGTGTGAGTAAAGAAAAAAGGTTCAGAAGACATTGAAAAACTCATTTTCAAAAAGAAAATGTAAAAACTATAAAAATTCAATTTATGGACAATACATTTTTTCTAAAAATTTGAATGGGCCTAATTCTTCTTTGGAATGAGCAAAAAATTTTCATGCCCTTTTGGAATGAAAATGTGATACGAAACTGTGGCAGTCACAACTCACAAGTTCAAAGGTATGCATGATATGGCCAAATCAGACTTTTTTTTTTTTTTTTTTTTTTTTAACTAAAAGCAATACCTGATTGGTTAAAAATAAATAATTAAGAAAAATAATATTCACATTCGGCAGGATCCGTGGTGGTCCAAAGCACAAATCAAGTGGCGTGGTTGCCATATGGCAATGCCTATCTTTTCGTCCTCAACTCTCCGCCAAATGTCTGCAACCGCCGCCGTACCTGCTTCTTCAACTACCATGTCCATGTCTGCTGCTGCAACTTCTGCTTCCGCCGCCCATAAACTCAATCACAATCAGCTCATTGTTTCTCTTAATGTCAAAAGAAAGTCAATTAGTGCATCATCTTCCTCCTTCATCAGCAGATATCCATTCCATTGCAACATCTCTAGATCCTTCCGTAAGATCCCTAATCCTTCTCCCATCAGAATTAGACCTATTTCTCCTGTCATGGAATTGCAAGATTGCACGTAAGTAAACATCTTATTTCGTATCCAAATACTTATTGCTGTTGGGTCGATTTGTGATTTGCTTGCTAATTATGTGGTTGTGCAGTGTTATTTGGTCTATCTGAAATCTAATTGTGAGAATTTTTGAGTTAAGTTAACTTTAAATTTTTGATGAATGCAGGGTGAAGATGGAAGTAGATGTGCCCATTTCAGTTGCTTATAAGTGCTATTCTGATCGTGAGGCTATTCCTCAGTGGATGCCTTTTATTTCATCTGTAAAGGTAAGCAATTCTATGTTATCTGTCGGGCATTAAGCACTTGAGCTGGTTATAAAGTCGCATCATCATTCAATTGTTCTCAATTATTTATCGATGAAAATTGCCTTCCTCTTTGTAGTTAAATCGCTAAGACCGAATGAATGTTGGTGTAAGTATGATCTTTTCTGGCTGGTTTTGCATATGATGTTACAATAATACTCCTATATTCATTTGATACAACCGTGTTTGACTGGATGCAGAATTTAAGTAACATTAGTAGACTAGTGGTCATGGAAGGAAATGTTAAAGTAATGATTGAAAGGTTTTAGAGTAATGCAGTTAGAAATTAGTCTGCTAGAGAAAACATCACATTGAAGTCAAAACTTAAGTTAAATGATTAAAATTTCTTGAAAATTATTTGGGGAATGATGTTAATCATTATGGGAACTTCTTAAGTGAAAGAATGTCATATAAATTGAATGGAGGAAATGTTACCTTCTCTCTTAAAATTTCTTCTCAGGATGTTATCAAGTATTTTTGCCATATTGCTGGGCTGTGTGCTGGCAGCCTGGCACCATGCGCCCTGAAATACTTCTCTTTGTCATCTTGACTATCCCTTCATCTGTCTCTTAGTGCGTCCCTCACGTAATGAGTAATCATTAGCGGATTTTTGGTTTGCAGTTTGGATATGAAAAACCATTGACCAAAAAAAGAAAAAAATTATAGTCAAATGCAGATGTATTGACTATTTAGAGCATCTACATTCTAGTTCTTGCTTAGTAACTCCATTACACAGCTCATCTCACCTTCTTAGTCTCATTCTAGGCCCCGTTTGGCCATGAGTTTTGCCAAAATAAATTTGGGATTTATTTTCAAAACTCATGTTTTTGCCATAAATTTTGCCCATATTTTGGCCAAATCCCAACTCAAATCTCAAATCCCAAAATCAGCTATTGAACTGATTTTGGGCCAAAATCTCAAAACTTGGGAATTATATATATGTTTTTCCAAAATAAATTTGGAAAATATGTTTTGAAAACGTATGTCCAAACACATTTTCCATCTTCAAACCAAACTTCACCCAAATCAGATTTTTCAAAATAAATTTGGGATCTATGGCCAAACGCTAGCTAAGGAACTTGATGTTAGATTCTCTTGCCAGATTTTGGAGGATAAGCCTGACTTATCAAGATGGTCGCTGAAGTATAAAGCTTTCGGGCAGGATATTGAGTATTCATGGCTTGCTCGAAATATGCAGGTAAAATCTCCCTTCAGTAATACCTTCCCTGATTATGTTCCTTTGATTCTAAGCCTTAGCTTTCATGCAGAATATCCGAATTGCTACTCATAATTTTTATTCTGTTTTACAGCCTACCCCAAACCAGAAGATCCATTGGAGATCTCTGGAGGGTCTTCCTAACAGGTAGTCAGAATGTATCCTAGTTTCTTTTGGTTGATACATAAACAACACATGTAACGGTGAAATTTATCGTTATACTCAAAGTAATAAAGACTTATTTGCTTCTATCAGATAAATAGACCATAGATAAAACCATGAAAGGTTGCTTTGGTAGTGGTGGCAGAATATTTCTGGTCTGAACTCTGAGTGATGCAGCATAATGTGTTCTGATCAATGCTATGAACAAAAGATTATTCATTCTCAGTATATTCAAACTAGTCATCAGTTTTATGATGAATTCCTTATTTAAAATGCAGGGGAGCTGTCCGATTTTTCCCCAAAGGTCCATCGTCCTGCATCATAGAAGTGAGAATTTTACTTGAACATAACATCCTTTCCTTTTCCTTTAGACCTCAACTTATCTTTAAAAAACATTAATTTCGAGAACAAATACTTATGCAATATTCTTGGAAGATTCATATGCAGAAAGGGGCAGAAAAAGTTTTGCACCTTTTCTTCTCCTAGTTTGTTGTAGGCAACCACATAAACTTGAGAATGTGCGGACAGAAATTGCTAGATCCTTTGGGTCTTTGGCTGCTCAAGATTGACTTGTGCTTCTCCTTTTTTCAGCTAACAGTTTCATATGAAGTGCCTCAACTGTTAGTTCCAGTGGCATCAGTAAGCACTCTTAACTCCTATTGCAGAAGTTGTACTTCACATCAGTTTTTTCCTAAAAGTATGCAATCGTTTCAACCTTGCTTGGGCAGTTATTGCTGAGTGTATACAAAATTTTCAAGAATAATGACACTGCGAATTTATTATGATTGAAAGTACGATTTCAAAGTTTCACCAGATCTTACTGTCGCACTTCTCCTATTATCCAGGCATTGCAACCATTTCTTGAAAACCTGCTGCGACGAGGGTTGGAACGCTTTGCAACGTTTGCTAAGAGCTACTCAGCTGACACGCCTAAATGATGTATAAACTGAATTCACGACCAGTAATGGCTTTTCGTCCCTCACTTTTTATGTTGGGGGAAGAAGCACATGGGAATTAAAAAAGAATTATACAATCATGTGGGATTTAAATGTACAAAGGATGAATTCTGTATTCTTACATATTGGAATATACAACCATTGAGAAATTAACTGTATTTTTGAGACGCCGAAGCAGTAGCTAGGCTACTTGAAGCTGGGAAATATGCCCAATTTTTTTTTTCTTTGATTGCCGCTTCTGTCCTTTACGTAAATTATGCACCTATTTCAGCTGCTTCAAGTACTGCGGTACTGGCATGCCTAGAGTCAAGACCCATTGGGTGTGCCCAGTTGAAGGGCTTCATAACTTGAGGGCATGTCGTTGCCAACTTATCATATATCAGGAGAAGCAACACAATTAGTTCCTTTATTTATATTTTCTTTTTGAACTCATGGAGAAGGAACACAATTTCTTCAATGAGAACTGCGAAGAGAAGGTAGAGTAGGAATAATATCGGTTTGTTGATTAACAAGAGCTGCAACATGAAGGTGTTTTCTGCTCCGCGTCCTAGTTTTAATCAATTTGCATCAGCACCATCCATTCAGGAGAGGTTTGTTGCACTCTAGTTACTATAACGAGCAAATAGCACAAGCGTTACTACTTACTATGTACAACCAATAGAAAGAGGGCCATACGTTAACAATAGCCATAATAAACTAAAAATCAACATAGCTCCTTACTAACCAACCAATTGTATGTACACACATACCCACAGAATATAACAGGAAGAAAAGTAAAGACCCCTACCAAAACTTTAACTGCTTTTACTCTGCCCAAATGAGGCAGCTGCAAACAGCCTGCACCGCCATCAACGGCTCCCATTGTTGTCTAACCAGCTTTGTAAGGCATACAGGGCTTCCGCAGAGAAGCTGCAGCTCCTTAATGTCCTTTGACGCATAGGTGATACCTCTGGATGATCAGGGGAAGTAAAACAAACAATAACTACAGTAAGATTGTCAAATGTATTGAGCCGCAAGGCCTCCGTGACAAGGTCCTTAGCGCACTGTTCAGGATCATCGTGCCGTCTTAACCCCCTACGCACTATACTAACTGCTTGTTGACTAGACATGACATCCCATATCCCGTCACAACCAATTATAAGGAATTCATCATCTTCCGTCAGAACAATTTGTCGAAATTCTGGCTCTGCAATCAGAGGAGAGGCAGAGCCACTAGGCAGCTTCATGTCCCAGTCTCCCAAGGCCCTGGTCACTGATAGTATACCATTCAGATAGCCATCGTCAATAAATCCACCTAACTCTTCAACACGCTTCCTCTCTGCTGCATAACTTGGTCTATGGTCATGAGACATGTCAATAGCCTCTCCCTTACGGCAAAGGACTGCACGGCAGTCTCCTGCATTTGCCACCATTAAAAGCCTAAAATGCAAAAAGTATCATTTAGACAACAAGTATACAAAAACATGCATAAAGCTCTGCAAACTTTTCATCGAACGATCAAGTCAACTATAATGTCGCTCCCTTACACTCTCCAGCTACCAAGTTGCTGTATAATCAACATTTACGGTTCAAAACTTGGTGAAGCAAAGTTTTGCAGATTCAAATACACTGAAACATTTTCCCCTCTCTCATACATCAAGCGGCATCCTTAGGTAAGGAGTCAGTAACTCATGACTTCTACTTGGACAGGTGGACAATTTAATACCATTAGCTTTGCAAGGAGTGTCAAACATAAAGTTGAGAACAAGGCTCAGAAGGAGAGACAAAAAGCATCATATTCATAACTGTAAGTGTGAGTACACCATAACCATTTTTCTACTGGAAGGAAAGCTCGCAAATAGGTGCATCTCAATGAATCATGACTTTACCTTCCCAATACAAGTGCTGTCAGTGCAGTGGTTCCAGTAGAACTGCTAACATTGCATGCGTCAGCTAAAGCAAGGTCAGCCAGAAGAAACCCTTTTCTAAGAGAGCTCTCCACCCCTTCTAGAAATGCATCATCAACTTCTGAAGTTTGCGGGAAGTTGGTGTCTTTGAAGAATAATCTGAGTACATTTTTTCCCACATAAGCTGCAGCTTCCGGTCCTCCGTGACCATCAAATACCTATAAAACTAGATATTAGAAATGCGTTGCCTTGAAAATGTATAGGGAAAAAAGACATATGCAAAAAACTAACAGTTACCCCATAGAAAGCACTGGGCTTTGGAAACCTCATGAGTGACCCAAGATGTGCAGATAGATCGTCTATCCTTATATGCTCGTCTTCCATGAACCTACGAGGGCCAGTATCAGAAAAGCTACCTGAGCGAACGCTGGGAACAAATTGCAATATTGTTGTCTCTGGGGATTTAACATCCTGAAAGAAAGGTCTGTTAGGCTAAATCTCAGACACCACCAAGAAAAAGAAAACCTGACACCAATTGCATACATTTTGGCAGGAAATGATGTTGAACATTGAACAAAAAGGCACATCAGCTGACCATATTCAATTTGGATTATAAAGAGCCCCAAAAATGGAGGGGTTTTGCAAATGAATTGTTGTATTATCTTAAAGTTAATAACTTATGATAAAAGATACTTAACTGGTAAACAATGTCTTTTCTTGCAAGTGAGAGGTGACTGAACAATTATGTAGCATGATTGGTTAAATATGTTTAATGATAACAGTTTATGATGTTCACTTTTGTACTGTCTTGCAGTACTTCTTGGTACTATTTAATAAAAGTTATCTTTACCTTATCAAAAGAAGAAAATGAAAAACTCTATGATACTTGTTCTTTTGAAAATCAATCATTGGTCCCAAACATCTGAAATCTCAAACTTTTCAAAGTGTTTGCCAACCTAGATAGAAGATTAAAATGTCTTGGCATGAGCATTAACCAAATGTGGAAAAGGAACAGAAAAGAATCACAAAATTAGGAGAAAAAGCCTCATTTTTCATTAAGTTTTCCAACTTCTTCAAAACCAGCAGCTCTGGTTGCCACTATGTGAATGAGCTAATCCTGGATCACATTTTGGTTCGTGAAACCGGAACAAATTTGGATTTCCCTGCCAAACCTAGAACTACCACTTTACCACAACCCACATCAGACAAGAAACTCAGTTTATTTGGTTGGGAGGACTCAACTAGTTCTCAACTATTCAGACTGGCCTAGCAACTAAATGCTATAATGAGTACTATGCAAAAGCAAATTATGCTCTGAATGTCTAGTCTACATTGGTTAATGCCCTATTTCGAACAGATAGTAAGCGCTCACAACGTGGCTGGGCAAACACGCACCTAGAGATTTGTTGTAAATGTAAAAACGGATGCATCTTTTCCAACCGCTAAGAGATATTATATGCTGTCCATGTAAGTGGGACACTCCAGAGTTTTATGACCGTTACAATGTTACATAATTAACTATATTTAGCAATAGCCGATAACTATAAAGCCCTCAAGCTCAACAATAAGCACTTTGCAGAATGACTCCCACCTGACTAGTGGCTCCCTCAAGCATACCTTAAACTTTTTCCCTCAGATCGACACTGATCATTGCACCTACCCTGGCAACCATAAAACTCTCAACATAAACAATAAGAACTTTGCAGAAAATTTCCTTCTTCTGATTAGGATTATCTATTCAAATATAGAGAGAAACATTTTCTACACTTTTAATGATACTCGTTCAATAAAATGAGTTTCTACAGCTAATTATAATTGACAAAACTCTAAATTGGATAAAGGCAACACCCTAAAATACGACAATTAGCGTTCATGCTTAGAACATCAATCCATTGTGACACAGCAAATAAGTAGATAAGTTAAGAAACGCTAAAAGTCATATGCTTGTTTGATTAGTTCCTGGCAATTGTGGCAAAACGATGTAACATAATAAATGAGGAAATATACCAAAGTTTTTATCGGTGACAAAGGTTAATTTATCTTTTTCTTTTCTCAGATCAAAGATTAAATCAAGATCAATTGGACATATCTGACGTTGCCCTAATTTTCCAAGGACGAGGAGCCTAAAGATACAAAAACAAAATTGAAGATCCATAAAACACACACAACAGCAGAAAACAATTCAATCAATCAAACTATGTAAAAATACCAAACTAGTTAATTTCCGGTAAATCTATTCCGCTTAATTTAGCTCATTTTATTCCACGAAGGAAACTAAACAAAAAAAGAAAGGAAAAGAAAAAGCTGACCAAATCAGAACAGCAGGACATGATGGTGTGTTGAACTGGAACCATAACCTCAGCTTCAGCTCCCATGTTTAATTAGAACAGACTCTAGATTGCGTTGATCCTGTTGATTAGCAGAAAATGCGTTGAACAATTTTGCAGGTGTCTAAAGATTTTTCTTTTTGTTTCAAATTCTTGAGAATTCAGTTGTGGAGCAAGCAAAACCAAAACTCTGATAAGCTGGACTTCAACTGTTCTATATAAATTATAAAAAATTAAAAATCCTCCGTGTGGGAACCAGCTGTTAGTTGTAAAAACTAAGTCGTCGCGGGGAAGGTGGACGCGTGTACTGTTGCAGCCTAATGGTTTTCTTAGGCTTCCTGTCTAAGGCGTATTCTTTTTCACTTTTAGCCGGCGGCAGAAATTATTTATATTTAATAATTTAAAAAATAAAATTTATACATAATATATATATACATATATATATACAAAAATATATATTTTTCGACTATTAGTTTGATAGTAGTTATACAGAGTCAGTTTTCCTTTAATATTACTCCCTCGTGAACAATTTATGGACGAAATGAGCTTTCATGGTAATTTATAATGTTAAAATTAAGAAAATATATTTTTAGATCTTTTATGTGTAAAAGTAAAACTTCTATGTGTAAAACAAAAAGAAATAGGGTCATATAACTAAAACAAGTTTGTAACGACCCACAAAACCATTTGACCACGAATTTATGTGACACCATATCTATATTATATGAAATTTGATTTAACATTGTAATTATTTTCGTCAAATTAGGTAAAAGAAAATTATAACTTTATTTTCCCTATAACTTTTGAAAATTTTAGCTTTAATAATTTAACTTTAAAAATTAGTGAAAATCATAAAATTAAGATGGACGGAATATATTTTTGAAGTTTTCAAAAGCAATATTTTTAGAGTTGCTTTAGATATACTGTCGGGCCAAGGAATATTTTACGTTATTTAGTCATTACAAAAATATTTAAGTCTCAATATAGAATTATAATCTTGAAAATAAAGCAGATACTCCCTAATCATGTAAAATTGAATTGATTGTGTATAAGTTCCTTACACGTATAATAAATAAAATAAACCGCACTTTTAATAACTTTACATAAAACATTTATCAAAATTACCCTTTACCTATCTCTTTAACTGTATCACTTCATTACATAATTGTTTTTTTTAATAAGTAAACAATTTATCGAAAAATACACCTCTAAAATACACGTGAAGATTCAAAGAAGATACTTAGGCCTTTCATAAAGATAAATAAAGAGATGCACGAGAAAGTTGTATAAAAATTTCAAGCTCACTCTCAGTTAAAGCGAAACCTAGTATATAAAGATAGCACTCATCATCTAGTAAACAAAAATAAAAACAATGTTTACCTTGCCCATGGACGAAATAGTGAAGATTGAAACGAGACGTTTTCTTTTTTTTTTTTTTTTTTTTTTTTTTAAATATTTATTTAGATATTCAAAGTGAAGATTTTGGCGACTAAAAAAAGACTTAACTGATAGATATTTTTTTTGAGGAAGTGAGTTCACAATGTTTTTTTTTTCCATTCACTAAGCATATTAAATACTCCATCCGTCTCATATTAATAGTCATGGTTACTAAAAATAATTGTCTCAAATTATTCGTCATTTTAGAAGTTCAAGACAAAATTGATTATTTTTTCCTTTTTTACCCTTAGTAATAATTGTTTTTGAAGATGGAGATAACATATAAATAGAATAAATATTCAATGAAGAGAGATTATATCTTAAGACATAATTAAGGGTAGAATAGTCTAATCCATTTCCTAATTAATATTTCTTAAGGGACGTGTAAAAGAGAAACACGGCACATAATATGAGACGGAGGGAGTACTACTGATATGATCAATTGACGAACTAGTAAAGGAAAATATAATTAAATGAGCCTTACGAAGGTGTAAAACCTAATTAATCCGAGACCTCACACAGATAGTAAATATCGGGTGAAAAATAAAAAAAGAACAAAATATAACACAGTTAGAAAGATAGAAACACGTTTTATTTATAAAATATAAAGTTAAATTTTAAGATTTGTGTAGGTAAATAATGTTACAATTTTGAAGGTATAAAAGTTGTATATAAAATAATATTAATAGTATGGGCAAATCTAGTACTACAAGTAGTATCAAGTGAGGAGGAATCTAATGAACAAAATTTTAGTTGATCCATATAAAAGTATAAATTAAGTTTAAAGTCCTAAATATAAGAACTTCCGACATAATACAAATAAGGAAAGATATAATAATCAGAATTTTAGTTAATTTAAAGTCTAAAATATTAAAATATAATTAAATTACTATTTTGTCCAGTATGAAAGTTATTTTTAAAGGGTAAAAAAGGCGAACAACATTTCACTAAGGGCCTTCGTGCTTTTAGTATAGTACTAGTTTTAGTGTACGTGCGTTGCACGTGTGTATAGTATTTATCAATTAAAAATATATACATTAATGTTAAAATAAAATATAACATTTTTTTAAATGATGAAAATAATTTGTCTCACACTAACATAGTAATCGTATTTAATATCTTCTGAATATGCATAGATGATAAATTTAGTTAAATTTGTATATTATTTTATAATTATACATATCTTATACCCCCTTCATTTCAATTTAATGACATATTTCGCTTATCGAAAGTCAATTTGTGTGACATTTGACCAACATTCTAAAATATCTTTTTTTATAATATTGACATGAGAAAAATTATAACTTATAGTATTTCTCGTATAGTTTTTGAATATCTAAATTTTAATTTTAAAATATTAAGTTTAACTAATCTAATAGCTTCAAAGTTTAGTTAAATTGACTCTCAATAAGCAAAATGTGTTATCTAAATTGAAATAGAGAGAGTAATACGATATAGGCGAAATACATAAATGGCCCCCCTCCAAGTTGTCCACAACGGTCATTTGAACACCTCAACCGAGGCCATTTCCAGCTAGACACTTTCTTTATTCACAAAAGAAGATCAACTAAACACCCGGCCATGTCAGCCCCATTGCGTGAAATGCACTCTCTCGGATGCGAGTTTCCTACCAAAAAATAGGTTTTTTTTTTCCTAAAATAATGCGGACCCACCTAATTTCACACCTTCTCCTCCAATTCTCTTCTCCACCATTCACACCTTACTCCACCCTAAATTGCCTCTACCTCCATTACCNATATTAAAAAAAATACTGACACACCTGATATAGTGCCATAAAAAGTAGCGTTATACCCTTTTAAGGAGTGAGGAGTTACAGTGAATGGATAGTCGGGGGGTAAGGAGGTTACTGCAACATCCATAGACTCTTCGTTTTTTTAACATAATTTTGAGTTAAGTAAAGTCAAGGATGAACAATTATCTCAAGGATGTACAATTATTAAAGTAAATAATAAGTTTTAAAAAGGCGAAATACATAAATGGCCCCTCCAAGTTGTCCACAACGGTCATTTGAACACCACAACCGAAGCCATTTCCAGCTACACTTTCTTTATTCACAAAAGAAGATCAACTAAACACCCGGCCATGTCAACCCCCATTAATACACTCTCTCGGATGCGAGTTTCCTACCAAAAATAGGTTTTTTCGTTTTTTTTTTCCTAAATAATGCGGACCCACCTAATTTCACACCTTCTCCTCCAATTCTCTTCTCCACCATTCACACCCTACTCCACCCTAAATTGCCTCTACCTCCATTACCAAATATATGATTTCACCAATTCAACAAAAAAAATTGTACGAAACTCGTTCTTCTGTTTCACCTTCTCCACTAGACTATCTAAATAATTGCCATTGTGCCTCTTTAATCTGAACAAAAAGCTAGAGATTTTGAGTATGTTTTGGTCATTTGATGGAAGTGTATGGTCACGTATTCTGATTTTATGCATTTTATTTGGATGCAAACCAGAATTCTGTAACGAGAAACACCCATCTAAAGCAAACCAAAATTCAAATAATTCACAACTACACCCTATCCAAAAAGTATCAATAGCAGCGTTTGATTGATACCCATGTTGAATTGATGGCTCAAACATGTTCTCCTTGTCAAGGCAAAGAGATCGGTATCGAGTTTGCTCCATTTGGACTACTGGAACTCCACTTCCGTTCAATTCTGTATCACAGGCGATTTGCAGGTCATCGGAGAAGACAATTCCCACGGTGGAATTGTTTGAAATTTGGTGGGGAGGTGGAATTTGGTGGAATTATCTGAAATTGTGTCACCAGCGATTCGCAGACCATTTGATGGAGAATAATCCCCACGGTTTGGAATTTTATTTTTTGACCCAAAAATGGAAGCAACAAGTCTCTGTTCCTTCAGATTTTGTCCATTTTTTTCTTCTTCAACAACCGATTCTTCTTCACTATTTATATATCCCGGAAATTTTGATAAATAGGTCATTCGAATTTACACGAACTTTTTTTAATATAGAAGATGAGTTTGAAGTGGATTGGTCGGAAGGGGACATCGAAAGATGAAGTTGGAGGGGGGGGGGGTAGGAGGGGGGGGGGGAAGGAGGAGAAAGGTACGCTGGAGAAGGGTTTTTTCATTTTAAATTAATTTTATTTTTTTTGGTTAATTTATGTTAAGTTTTAATTACAAATTACACGTGTCGTTCATTGATTGGCTCATTTGGCAATTGTAACTCACGCATCTGGTATGCTGTACCGGAGTGTCTATTTGATTTACTTAACAGACACTTGAAGTGTCTACTTGATAAATAGGTCTGTAGAGGTGTTCAAATGACCGTTGTGGACAATTTGGAGGGGCCATTTATGTATTTCGCCTATGATATACAAATAAGTTAAATTGTATCTCGCCTGACATCTTTTTATGAATACATTTTTTCTTCTATTATTTCATCCTTGTTTCTTAAAAGTTTACATTTTAAACAATTTAATTATTAATACTATAATTTTTCCTTCTATTATTTCATCCTTATTTCTTATAGTTTGCATTTTAACCAATTTAATAATAGTATAACTGATTTTCTTTATATTTTGATTTCTTTTAATTCAAATACTTAATTATATTTTTTAATTACTAAAGGAAATAATTTATTTTTTGAGGAGTCTAATTATTAATATTATTTCATACAATGTATTAAGTGTCTAAATATAACTACATTTTTATCCATAAAAATTCTTTTGTCAAATGATAAAAAATCGAACTTTTGTATTTTATGTTTGTCGTAGTGTTAGTAAATAACTTTTGCCAATCGCTTT